AACAAAAAAAAAATAAAGTAGGATATAAAAGGCCCTCGCCAAAAAAAATAAGGAGAAGGAAAGTTGGAAGACAGTTTTACAAAACCACAAGATAACAATATGTTATGGAAAGAGTCAGGCTCCACACTCTGTTAGACCAACCCAAGTGCAAGTTCAGACCTACATGCCACTTGTCAGTGGTATCAACTTTTGATCTTTTTTTTTAATATATCGCTTTATAGTTTTGACTTTTATTTTTAGGTCTTTAATGTGATTGAGTTTTTATTTTTTAATTACGGCTTATAGCCAGTATTATTCTATTTTCTGTTAGTTTCACAGCCTAGTGGTTAGATAATCATACACTTTATAAAGTGTCTGCCTCCCATATTTCCAGTACCCACTTGGCACTGTACACAGTTATTATAATACCAGAGGCCTGATGTACGGAATTCATGCAAGGGGCTCGGCCCTTGCAGCCCCAACTGGCCCTCATAGTCCCTCAAAGCCCCAGATTCATCCAGAAGGTCATCGGATGGTCATCCGGAAGGATTTCTGGACGGTCATTCTGCTATTTGGTCCAATTAGCACATTAGCTCTTTATTATATAGGATTACTTATTATATTACCTACGATGTAAAATCTTCTGTTTTCTTATCTATAAAATGTTATGTGAATGAGTGGGATGATTGTAACAGAATGAAAAAAGTTTTTGTGTGTTATGAGAAATATTGTTTTAACCCCCTTCTGTAATTCTAAAGAAAGCAAATTCAGCCTCTATTATATGGTCCAGAAGATGGGGGTAAAGAATTAAAATTGAGAGCATGAGATTGCTTGTGGAAGAAAAGGAAGAGCTAGAAAGTGACCCTGTTTTTTTTGTTTTGTTTTGTTTTGGGGGGGGGGGGCAGTTATGCCTAGATAACTTAGAATCACATTGGAAAGAGCTTTTTAAAAAAAATCTCCACCCAAAGATATGTTTTTATTGATTTTGAGAGAGAGGAATGGAGAGAAAGAAAAATTGATATGAGAGAGAAACACTGATTGATTGCCTCCCATATGTGCCCTACCATGGATCAAACCCACAACCTAGGTATGTCTCTGACCTGGAGTCAAACCCATGGCCTTGGATGTATGGGATGATGCTCCAACCAACTGAGCCACCTGGCCAGGCCAAGAGGAGCTTTGAAAGCCAAATAAAGAGTTTGTACTTGAGGTAGAGAGCCTTCAGGAGCTCTAGGGAGGTTTGGAGAAAGAATAGTCATGGAAATTCTTTCTAAAGAATTGATTCTTCATAATCACAGAAAATGTGATTATGAAGCAGTACTGGGAAGAGCAGAAACATTTATTTATTTATTTATTTATTTATTTATTTATTTATTTATTTATTTTTATTCAATGAGTATAGTAAGAGTTAGGTACTGTCCTGGACAATGGGGATGCTGCATGAAAAAATTGACAATTCTCCCTCATGGTGCTTCCCTTCTAGTGGGACAATCAGACAATGAACAAGATAAATAAGTAACATATGTTCCATGGCAGGTAATGATAAGTACCAAGGAGCAAAATAAAGCAGAAGAAGCAGATAGAAAGTGACAGCATTAGTGGTGAGGGTGAGATTTAATTTTGTTTAAATAGGAGATGTTTGAAGAAAGACTAGAAGGAAATTAGGAGAACAGAACAAACATATTAACAGCAAATACACTAATAACCTTGTGAGAGGAGGCTCCTTGGATGCTTGGAAAAGTGTCCAGTGAGGAGAAATGAGGGTGTGGGATGAGAACAGAAAGGCCCAGAAGCAGCTGGGCTCAGTTATGACATACCTTTCTCTAGCCTGCATTACTTTTCTTCACAGAATTTACATTACCTGATATTATATTATAATACATATCTTCTTTTTTATTGAGTTCATATCTCCCCCCCCCTACTCTCACTAGAAAGTAAGCTCCAAAAAGGCAGTACTTTGTCTCTTCACTGTAACCATGACTGACCCATGGTTACTCAATCAATTTTATTGAGTAAATGAAGGACTGAAAGGGAGGAGCCTAGAACACAATGTTAACTATGGAAGATGGAAACAGAAAGGGTCTTTGCGTTTGACAGGCAGGCATTTTCTGGTCTGGGAGCCTTCATGGGTCCTCGATGATGATAGATGCTTTGGGTGGAGGGTGAGGGACAAAGGAATAGAGGGAAAGAAACCAGGTAAAGTGATGCCAATCAGTCCTTAAGCTTCCTTAACAACAGCTGACTCACATAAGGGTTACTTTACACAGCTGACTGTGGTGTGCTCTTTTCCCTTTCCCTAAAATTATTTATGATGTACTTATCCTGTTAAACAGATACTTCACAAAATTGAGTTTTGGGTATGATGCCAATCCATTGCATCCCTTGGGGACTGACAAATTGCACTCTGCTCGTTGTTAACATAATTTTAATTAAGGTATTGAAAGCCCACGTACAGACTTAACTATAATCTCACTTACTGTGTGGGAGGTGTTATCTATTTCATGACTGAGTAAAATCTTAGGAAAAAAATATCCCTAAACTGCAGAGGTATGCGTACAGATTGCAGACATTTCTGTAATGGAGTAATAGATGTGAAAGAGCTTTGTTAATAGCAAAGTACACAAATAGCGTTAATGAAAAGACAGCTAACTGCCTGTGTCTTCTCGTCTCAGCTTGAGGACATTCAGATCTTCACAGCCACAAGCACATTGTAATAGAAGGGAGCATCCAGGAATTCAGACATTTACATGGTGTTATGTAAAAGGAAATACTGTAGGCTGTGAATTATTCACCCAAAATCTTTTAAACATTTCTATGGCAAAGAATAAAGAAAATACTAGAAAGGAAAAGAAGGAAATCACTCTTGTGACAGAGATGGTAGAGACATTTCTGGCGAGAAGGGACATATCTGATCTTCATGAAATCAGCCTTCCAGACGCAAAGCTCAAAGCAGAGGACTAAACAATGAAATGCAAAAATAATCTTATGAAACTGTATCAACAGCACCAGCAACAGAAGTTCCTAGCTGGGAGTGCTATCGTTTTTATTAATCTTAGCCACTTCCATCTTATCTGTTTTTCATTATAAGAAAGGTTTTCATTAAAGAAAACGGAGTACATCCTAAGCAGGATCATCATGGATGATAACAAAGTGGTTATAACTTAAGGCATTATCTAGTTCCTTTTGTAAGCTTATCTTATGGCTGCTGCTCACTGTTGTGGGAAATCGTTCATGTGGCTTACAAACTGGTCAAAACATATTTAGTTCAAAGTGAGAAACACTTAACAAAGTATATAGATTTTTCCTTCAATATCAGCACATCAAAAGAAACCTTTAAATGTTACGATACATCAGGAATAAAGATACATTTGAAGGCCATTTTGCAAAATTAACTTTTAAAAATATATGCACTTTCTTTACTTCCCGGAGCATGAATCTATTTGCAGTATAAATTTTAAACAGGCAAAAGTAGCCGAAACCAGTTTGGCTCAGTGGATAGAGCGTCAGCCTGTGGATTAAAAGGTCCCGGGTTTGATTCTGGTCAAGGGCATGTACCTGGGTTGCAGGCACATCCCCAGTAGAGGGTGTGCAAGAGGCAGCTGATCGATGATTCTCCCTCATCGATGTATCCCTTTCCTTTCTTCTCTTTAAAAAAATCAGTAAAATATATATTAAAAAACAAACAAACAAACAAAACAAAAAAACACACAGGCAAAAGTAGCTTAGCATCAGTTTCATTTATTTTCCTCTGCCTACAAGGCTCTCCTTTCCTTGGACTTGGGTGAACTAGAAGACGGGGATGCTGGACTGCCTCACGGCTCTGTCCCTGCCAGGCTGCATGTGTGCCCATTCCTCCTGCTCTCCGACAGCATTTCCTGGGAAGGGAGGGAGGGTGGGTTGAGAGCCTCCCCTCCCATGTTTGCTCAGCATGGCGGAGAGGACATGACATAGGAACACATCCACAGTGGGAAGGCTCAGAAAACTGACAGCTCCACCTTCCACCCGGCAATGGAGGTGGGGAGCATGGTTGTGTCTTAGTGTGTGTTCAGGCGTCTTCAGATCAAGCAGCAGATGGGAGCTTTGCCTTACCTCTGCCTTTGCCATTCTTCTTTTCTACTGCCTGTCCCCCACCTTCTCGCAGATTCACAAAATACATAATGTGGGGAGTCTGTTTTTCTAAAAGACATTAACTCTCTCACCCTCTCCCAAAGAAAAACATTCCAAAAATGTAAGTTTGTTTTGTGTGAGCCTTGTTGAATGGGTCATAGAGGATTCCCAAAGTGATGACCTGGCTTCTATATGCCGTTCTTTCTCCCCCCCTTACAAACCTCCCCCCCCCCCGCTCTCCCACCTCCACTTTGCCCCACTCCCAGCATCACACATACACATCTCACTAAGGTGCCACACAACACTCCTGGCCCTTGCATTTAACATATTAAGGCATTATAACCCCTTTTAGACAGATTTTCTGGCATTCTGTCAAAAGACAAGGTGTCTCTTCACTCACCATCCCCATTCCCATCCCCATCTTCTTCCCCATCATGTTTGGGGCCTTAGACCCCAGCCTCCAACCTCCCCAGAGTTTTCTTCATTGCACTGTTGTTGAGCTAATACTCTGTGCTTGCTCTGTACCAACGAGAGGTATCGTGAGCCTCTTCCAAATAACAGGTTTTTTTGTTGCTCCTGGTGAATCAAATATTTGGCTCATTCATTGTTACACCTATGCAAGATAAGGAATTTTTGAAAATATCTGTGCAAAGGTTGGTAGAATGTAAATATCCCTTTAAAGAAATGGTAGAAATAAATATGACAGTTATCATGCACTCATCCTGATGATGTAAGCCAAAATAGTTTCTACAACATGTGTGATTGTCACCCTTCATAACATACACCTAAAACTGTACTTCGGACAATGCTGTGGTCTCTTCTCTGGTGTGGGCACTGATGTTCAAGGTCATTTTTGCACCCACTGCTACATTCTATGTTTTTGTGCAGCTTTAAATCAAGAGCTTGTTTTTCAGGTTTTAGATCAAAGTGGCAGCAATGTTTTCTTGAAACATGAAAAAAAGGAAGGTCCTCTTATGAAAAAAGGTAAAAAATAGAATTCAGTTTATATATATTAGCTATAATGTTTGAGTTGTTTTCATTATGAGTGTGTGGCACAACAATATGACTGTGGGAGATAGGCCATACCTTTGGCAGCAATTTGAATGTAAAAAAAAATAAATTTATTATTTCAGAAGCAGGAGGAGGGGTGGGAAAACAGCCACCAGCCGCATGTGTTTTGAAGGAGCAGAGAGATACCTCCCGCCTAAGAATCGTGCTCCCAGCACTGCCACACTGACTGAAACCCCAACACTACACTTACATTGCCCTTCTCATTGAATTTCGTTTCATAATTTGATGAGGCCTGACTTCAGGTCTATAATTATCAGAATCTATTTTGAAAATTATAATGGCATTCCCCTATTTTCAATCATTTAATCCTATTCCTGCTTGTCATGGATACTCTTGTCAACAAGAGTGATCACATTTATTAGTTTCTTCATGTCCTTGGGGTCTAATTTGTCTCAGGTGAGAGACGTGAACTTTCTTTTAAATATAAAGTTGCTATCTTATGATATTCAATTTAAATACAGTCTCCTTGGAGAGAGAAGCTGGGAACAAGCTGGACTCAGATAATTTTACTTTCTTAGTGTCCATTATTTCTTTTACTATGTATTATCTCTTTTACTTTAATATTATACCATTGGGCCTAAGCAGTAAGTACATTATTTTAGTTTTTAAAAATATATTTTGATTTTTTTACAGAGAGGAAGAGAGAGGGATAGAAAGTTAGAAACATTGATGAGAGAGAAGCATCGATCAGCTGCCTCTTGCACACCTTCTACTGGGGATGTGCCCACAACCCAGGTACATGCCCTTGACTGGAATCGAACCTGGGACCTTTCAGTCCACAGGCCGACGCTCTATCCACTGAGCCAAACCGGCTTCGGCAGTACATTATTTTCATTGTCATCTTGTCGTCTCAGCTCATTTTGGCTTCATTGCTCACAGTCATTTTTGTGTTGATCATGCCATCATTTTGTGTTCACATTTGGTTGTAAGCCCTCTCTTCATACTTTGTCGCTTAGGTAACCTAATCACCCATTCATTCGCATCTTTATATTTGAACTCATTAGTGAGGTCCCTAAGAAATCACACTTTTTCTTTTCCATCTTAATTAGAATACTTGGCTATTTATAATCAGGATTTATTTTGTAAGGAACTCTAAATTTTAAGCCAATCTTTTATAGAAGTTTTAAGCTATTAACAAACCTTCAAGTATGTGCCTGTTGGGTTTCCCAGTTGTAATGGAAAAATTGTTAATACAATTTTGACCCTAAAATTAATATTTAATTTCCAACAATCACCCTGGCTTTAGGAGAAACAAATGGTGAAGTATTTTCAAATGACTGTAATTATGGATTAGTTGGCTGTTGGATTGAAAAACTTCACTTTGTATGCAAGTCTGTGAGCAAAACCAATACTGTCTTCAGTGTGCTTGGAAACCTCTATCCTCTCTTACGTTTCCTTAAAGAGTCAGCAGAGCCTCAGCCATGTACCCACACCTTAACTTTCCTTGTTCTGCCCTGTTCCTCGTGGCCTTCGATGGTCCTAAACTTGTTGCTGAGGGTTTGTTTGGTAACAGGCTATTTGGACAGATATCACAAAGAATTCTAGAGATAGGGGGAAGGACACATAGATCTATTTCTTGTGGTGTCCTCAAAAACTCTTAACACTGATCCAAGAGGATAAAAACATTCCTATTTCTCTGTGGACTGTAAACAAATCACTAACTTCTCTGAACCTGCAGTTCTGAGATTCTTTGAGTGAGATGATCGGCTAGGTAACTCTAGGTCTCTTCCTCCTTTAAAGTTGCACTCTGTACTTGAGGACATTTCTGATTGGGATCTGTCAGTATGTCCTTGAATGTGAACCCAAAATGGGACAGAAAAGGATGCTGAAGGGAAGACAGGTGGTTGTCGGGGCTGAGGTTGGTGAGAGCAGGGAATCTGAACAGCCCCAGTCAAGTCACCCCGTGCACAGCAATAGCAGACAGTGAGCATCACTACAAAGAAATTATGGAAAAACAAGTTACAGAGGCCCTTGGGTTATTACATATGCTATATACACTGTTTAAAAAGGTTATTATATACTGCCCTGAGAACATATCAGTGCAGTTTTACAAAAGGGTGTTTGAATACAAAGCCAAATTAATGAACTGACAGCATTTATTTCAGTTTATTATGTGATAATAAAAAGTGACTGACTTCATTTTGTTTATGTTCTTTTGAAGAAAAACAAGAGCAGTGCAGTGACATTGCAGAAATAAAGAGAAACTCTTCATTACCTAACTGGAAAAGGTGAGTGTACAGCAATTATATAATATCGAAGTGAGTGAAATTACACTATTGAAAAGTAATTATCAATGTTTAAACACAAAAAGAAAGAAAATAATAGTAACAAGCAAAAGCAATTAAGAAAGGAACAAAATTTTATGAAGGAGACAAGAAAGAATAGAATGCACTAAATGTCTTACTTTTCCCTCAAACCTTTTCATTTTCTTTTGTGAGGACTGGGAATTACAAAATGAAGCAGGCTTATCTTTCTACTCACAGCAGGCAACTAATTCAAATTACAGTAATGTGGTCCAATTATGGAAAATGTTGCATATATAAGGTATAACTATGAAATCATGAACTTTTTTTGTGTGACTCATTATCTAATTGTCATACATGTATGCAATTATAATAATCATTTCTCGACATGAGACTTAGCAAGTAAATGTTTTGGATACCCAATAGAATGAAGAAGATGTTTTCCAGGAAGCAAACTCTTACTCTCACTCTACTACAAACATCTAAGCTGCTTTTCAGATATTCAGACTGAGTGTCTCTGAATCCACCCCCCCAAGCTGTTTTTGCATAGGAGCTCCTTGAATAAAGTGCAAGAAAATACAGAGGAGCTTTTACGTTCCACCCTTACTAAACAGTAGTCACGCTAACACTCACATCCCATCACTTCACTCTTCTACTCAAAAGCTTTTCATAACCCTGTCACTGTGAAGATAAACCATCAAATCCTGAGCCTGGCACAGGTCCCCTTCACTCCTGGCCTTCTCTCTGTAGCCTCCACTTTGCTTCCTAGAGTTCCTGACTTGCTTATAGTTCTGTTTTATCACACGCCTCCATTTTTTTTTGTCCACACTACTTCCTGTGTTTGAATGTCCTCTGAAACATGTACACCGGTCAAGTTTTATTCAACTCACAGTTTGAGTGTTCTCTCCTTTGGTGTTCACAGAGCCTCTGTTGCCATGATCATATTACATCATTCAGCTTCAGTAATTATTTATTATGTTCTGTCCCACAGTGGTGAGCAGTGCTTCCCAGTCAAGTGGAATTGTCTGTCTGAATGTCTGTCTTCCATTGCGTGTGGCCTTTATGAAGGACGGGCCATGTCTTTTCCTCTGCATTACTCCCAGCCTCTGAGAGGCGTTCCCTGACCACTCCGTCTAAAATGGGCCACCCCACTTCTGACAAGGCACACTGTCAAACCATAGCATCCTGTTCTGTTTTTTCTAGAGCACTTATTACTATTTTTAAATATCTATCTCATTGCTACTGTTTCTTTTAATGTCTTACATTCTAACTTGCTTATTTTCTATATGTTTTTCACTCAAAGCTAACTCACTCCACGAGAACAGAGGCTATCTTGCTCATCTGTGTTTCCTTAGAGCACATGTGTCAAACACAAGGCCCGCGGGCCAAATCCGCCCCGCCAGGCCTTGCAATGTGGCCCGCACCGCGCTGTCATCACTGCACTCCGCTGCGTTTCCATCACAATGACAGTTTATGACTGTTCAGTAAACCATTCGGCCCGCGATTTAGGCTGGATTTTAGATTTTGGCCCCTTCTCTGATTGAGTTCGACACCCCTACCTTAGAGTATTGAGTAGCACCTGACTGAAAGTGGGCACTCTAATATTTGCTGAGAGAAGAAATGATGTAATACTTCCCCTGCCCGGCCCCAATACACCCAGTGATGTGAGGCCATTTTGTGGTTAATGCTTTAACCTAGAGTTATTTACTGAGATTTGAGTAAACATTTAAAATCCATCCAAAAACTAAGACACATTTTGCGTGTGTGTGTGTGTGTGTGGTTGTTGTTGTTATTTCATAACAGGAAGCATTGAGACACATTCTTTGTATTGTTTAATCCTCAGCACAGCTCTGTGAGGCAGGCACTGTTGTTATTTGGCCGAAGAAGGAACAGAGGCTTGGAGAGGAATCCTTGTGCTCAGGGGTAGTGCATTTTACCCTCCACCTCTACCACCAGCATAAATCTCCAGCATGCCAAAAATGATTTAAAATTTTTTAAGGATTTCTCTTTAATAAAATTTCAGCATAAAGGAAGTTATGGTTAATGGGCATTCAGACATTGTACAAGTATTTTTAACAGACAATTAAGCATTATAATGTTCTTCATCTTAAATGAAATATAACTGAAGTTAGTATAATTAATGCCAAAGAAGAGTTGACAATAGAAGCACATTTCATTTGGTGTGAACTATTATCCAATTGCTAAAAGTATAAAAATATAAAGAGATAGCACTCTTTTTAATTTATGTCATCTCAATTGTGAAAGAATTACAGTAACCTATTAATTGATAGACACAACCCTACGTGATTTGTTCCACACTTGGTTTCCTATATTGCACAGCCTTTGACTTTTCTTGTTCCCACCACATTGAAAGCTTTGGGTTTCATTAACACTCAGCACTATTTTATGCATCCTCATCATGTGTATTCTCCAGTTATGCTTTTAAAACATGTATCAGATCACCTTACACCCATGCAAGAAACCCCTCAATGGTAGTGCCTGCTCTGCTTGGAGTAAACTCCAGCTTCCACTCCATGGCCAGTACTGTCCTCACCCATACCTCTCTCCTTCCGCCCCGGCACTCCACCTCAACAGCTCTGGCCTCCTCATTCCCTTTTAATTTGACCTTGTTTTCTATCCCAGGATCATTACACTTCACCTAGAACATTCTTTTTCCTCCAGATTTGACTAAATTTTTCTTTCAATTGACTTTGCCCCTGTTTTTTGTTTCTTTTTCTTTTTCTAAATGTACCTCTCCCACCCCAGGCTAAACTAGAACTTTAGTTTAAAAGCCTTTCACCAAATAAGAGACAAATGGTATATGACTACTGTTGTTAATAATAAATCACCACCAATTTTATTTAATTGTGAGCACCCATAAACCTTGGAATAAGATTTGTCAGGAATAAATAGTAACTCTTCTACTTGGGAATTGATTTTATATTACTATACTAATATTAAATGAGTTTTCAGCGTCACACGTATGTTCTTACTTTTATTTGGTGTATATTCACATTTTATTTGTTGTATATTGACATTTCTGAGGTTATTAATATCTAATGTGATTCCTACTTTGAAATGATAAATCTTGGCTGTTTTTGCCCAGCATACCAGTGGGAAACTTATGTCCAAGTTCTGGACATAAACCCAGAGTTGCTGTGAGTAGTGGCTGTGAAGTTGGTTCTTCGCTGACAAAGTCTTCTCAGAGCCCATCTGTCAAGGAAACAGTAAGAAAACTGACATCTAATTTATGGTAAAGAGATTTACTAACATATTTTCACATGCTTTGTTGAAATTTCTTAGAAGTGACGACTTCTGATTTCTTACCCTTATTAAGAAGTAATAATGAGAAATTTAGTCAAATGACTTTAAGATTTGTCTCCTAACTACACTGACTTAGCTAGATCATGAGTTAAATGTCCCTTGAAATCAAACTATAATTGCTAAATGCCTGTTGTTACATGGTTCAGCACTATGGTGGACATCAGTCCTCTCTCGGATACAGTGAATAATTCTTACTGAGATGGCCTTACTGAAATAATTATTTATCCCTCCCTCCCTTTCTTATTTCTTCCCTTCCTTCCTTCTTTCCTTCCTTCCTTATTTTCATTATTAATATTCATCATGATATTTATATGACTTTCTAAAAAGTGTTATTTTTTTAGCTTTAGATAATATACTTCCTAAGGGAAATAGTTTAACTTTTTGGCTCAACATAGAATGTTAAATTTGTGGCCATGGTTAATGAGGAACTTAGATGTCTGGATCTCAATTCTCAAAGGATGGAGAGACAGAGTGGGCAAAGCCCAGGATTCAGTTTTTCCAAATAAGGACCCATCTTAGGAGGGGGCTTTATAATCAAACCAAGTTAGTACACAGAAGAATGCTATTAATAAGTGTCACGTGGGAGGGTGGGGGCAGGAGCAGTAGCATGGCTGCATTAGTGCAGCCAGTTGTTTGGTTGGGGTTGCAGACTATGAGAAGACTGTGTGGTAAGAGCTTTTGGCCAAGGAGGTCACACACATGCCCTAGCTGGAAGATTGTTTTTCCTTTGGACAGTTACTTTGACTTTCTGATGAGTGGCTGATAGAATATTCTTGGAGAGGAGATTTAGCAGCAGATAGGAAGAAAAAGAAAGGTAGAAGTTAGTTGTATATAAATGACAGGAATTCTGTCCTGCAAATTTATGGAAACTTATGTGGCAGCATCCAGGGCTGTGCAGCTGTGCTTATATGGGTATGAAGTCCCCACCTACTGTCCTTCAGGAACACATTCCCAACACCTATCCAGCTGCTGTAGGAGAGAGGGGGAAGCACTCTTGCTTATATGTAGGTGGATCTATCTTGGACTTTGCATCAAGACACATTGTATTAATGGGATGCAGAGACAAGTTGTTAACCAAGAAATGAAGCTAGTGTGCTACATTTCTGAGTACTAACTTCTGGCCACCAAATCTACCATAGTGACTGGGTTGGCAAGCTTACACCAGCCTGGAAAAGAGGCAGGTGTAGGTCAGACCTCAGTGTTGGACAGATATTAAGAGGTTGAAAAAGACCACTTCTCCACTGATCTAGATGAATGTCAGTCTCAAATGGCCACAGCCAATAGCATAGTCCCTGAAGAATGGGATTCCCCAACCAGTTTCTTACCTTCTGTCCCTGTTTGATCAGAAGTAATATGTAAATTTTCAGCATTGAATTGGATAGCCATATATTTGAATCCTGGTGTTTTACTTACTAGTTCTAACATCTAACATTCAGGCATGTCCATTGGTCACTGAGAGATTGTAGTATGCAATAAATAGCATATGTATGAGCCTTTGTATATGTGAATAAATGTGTGCATATTATTAAAGTACGGATGTGACCACATGTCCAATGATTGTGACAGGCTTTCTTGACCATTAATAGCTATAATTTTTGAGCCATTACAATATTTTAGACATTCACCCAAGTGCTTTGTATATGCTTGCTTTTTATTTCCACAAACTTATAGGATTGGTATAACTTTTAACTTTTTTATGGATAAGGAAATTGAAGCTTAGAGAAACTGAGTAACACACTCAATGTCTCAAAGAAAATTGTACAGCTACTAAGGACAGTGCTGGGTTTAGCCTCCTGCTCCCTGATTTGGAATCTCATGCTCCTCAACACTACATATACACATATATGTAGATATATGCACATATACATGCATGGGGATATAGACACATGGATACATATGAAAGTGTGTGTGTGTGTGTGTGTGTGTGTGTGTGTGTGTCCATCCACACTATAAGACCTCAAGAGACCTGCCTGGTTGTGTTGCAGCAGAGTTTGGATGTATCACTGTGTATCATCATTTTTTTGTAACTTGGCTATTTTTTGTTCTTCATCTAAGTGGATCATTATTATTAATTTTTATGAGTTACACTTGATCAAAAAGGAGATAATCTGATTAAGTATACTAAGACTTTAAAGTACATCCACTTTTATAATTAGCCATCAATAGAAAATTAAAAATTCCCAGAAACCATCCCCTTAATGAACATGTAGAATCTTTAGTGCTTGAAATGATCATGCTATTATCAACTGAACATTCTGAAAGCTAAATGCATTAATAAATCAGATCTTTTCTGTACCAACTTGAATTTTTGTGGTTTTATTAAAATGCTCAGTAGAAAGAGAATTTTATAGAACATGAGGCTCTAACTGGAACTAAATGATTTCCTCATTTACCAGTCTTCTCTTTTGCCTCAACCAGCAGTAGTGTGTTTTCTTACATTTCACCAGTGAAAACAGATTTCTTGTCTTCTCTATATTTTCCTCCTGTACTGCTCTGTTCTACATAGTGTCTAACATTATTCCTTATATTAACTAGATTTTAAATCCCTCAAGGCATGAAGATTGTGGCTGGTTGTGTGCAGTGTGGAGGGGACCGTGTTCTGTAAGATTTGTCTGTGCTTGTCACATGGTTAAGAGAGTAATTAGAGCCCTTTCATGTGTGTGGTGTGTTCCTTCCCTCCTCTTGGTTCATTCTGGACATCATCCTTACCCTTTCCACACGGCCGAAGTAGAGACAGGGCACCTCTTTTTACTTCCTACATTTGTGATTTTTGTTATCTTAAGAGTGTTTTACTCAGTTTAGCATTTTCCTGTCTTGTTTTGTTTTTAACAATCAAGCTTACTATCTAAACCTACAAAAAACAAACAAACAAACAAACAAACAAACAAACAAACAAAAAATAGAGAGAGAGAGAGAGAGAGAGAGAGAGAGAGAGAGAGAGACTTTTTAGAAGGCCATAAAAATACTTTTCTAGTTAGTCTTATGGGACAGAATTCCCCAAGGAAAAGCTGTTAGTAGCAACTCTGTGGTGGGGAAAGCAAAAGGCTGAATCCTGGGGTCCTAGAGGGAGAGACAAAAAGGAGACCATAGTCAACTTGCTTGAGCCTGATGTTAAGGGTGGGGATAAGGTCCTTAATCCCAGGAAACCAGAGATGTTCAAAATAGGAATAACTCCTCAATCAGAGTTTCCATAAAAATTGTATATATAAAGCAAATAGCAATGCCCAGCCTCTGCTCCCTGCAGCTGGCTAACTCCTCTTCTTGGGGGCTCCCCAAATTATGGGTTAGGGTCCCTTCTATCAGTACTTGTGGTGCTGAATTCCCATTCTCATCTTAACATATTTTTCTAGAAGTACTTCCTCTGAAGGTTGCTGATAATCTCTAAACCCAAAAGAGTTCATATTCACCATGAAAAGGACCAATGTTCAGAAGAGAGTTCAGCCCTGTATTGGAGGAAGGGAAGCTGGATTTATGGAGAGGAGTGGTTTATGTAAAAGAACTTTCATAAGGTTGACCAAACCAACCATAGGGTCCATTTTCCAAGGACTCCAAATGCAGCTCTTCTCTCTGTGTCATCTGTTCTCTGCTCATCTCAAATATCTGAAGGCTCCATATCACTCTGCCCAACCACTTGCCTTCTTACTAGCCAGACAAATAATTCTGCAGAATGTGTGTGTTGGGGGAGGGGTTTGGGGTGTACATGTGTGTTATGCAATGCTGAAAATTTTTAACTTTTCAGATTGAATCTCCTTAAACCTATAAATAAATATTAGCACAATAATATACCTAGAATACCAAGAATGTCAATTGTATAAGAAACAGATGTTTTGCCTTTTGTGTGCCATATTATTTCACAGTTGAAAAGTTTTGTCCGTCCCTTGGATATTGTACATAAGGTTCTTGGAGCACTTCAACATAAAAGCAGTATACAATTTAAAGATGTGTAACTATACGTGTCTAGATTTTATGTTCTCCCCGGAATGAAATATGTGTCATGTAGGTCAGTGATCGCTAACCTTTCAGACCTCGCGGCCCACCAGTGGACCGCCGACCACCAGTTAGCAACCACGGATCTAGGAGATTAATCCTAGAAAAGCTGTCTTGAGAGAAGGGAGAGTGCCACTACCTTTTGCCAAATGAAGCACCTGTTAGCACAATGGCCATCCCGGTTTGGGAAGAGCAGGGTCCATGTGTGATTTCTGAGAATGTCCTGGAAGGCCCAAGGAAAGGGCTTCCTCTGGAGAGTTAAGTTTTATTTTCTTAGGGAAAAAAGTCAGTAACCCATAGCCTGTTTCCAGGAATTTAGCAATGCTGAGTTCTCTTCCCAGAGCACTCGGAGGTGCTGGGCTTTCCTGAGTTGCTTGGCTATGGGTAGGAATTGTGAGCTTTTCCTCCCTCCCTACCTACCTCCATCTCTCCCTCCCTCCTTTCCTTTCTTTCTTCCATAAACTTTTTATTTTAAGACAAGTGTAGGTAGGTTCACATGCAGTGGTAAGAAATAATACATAGATCCCCTCTACACTTTACCTGGCTTCTCCCCATGGTAATGTCTTGGAAAACAATGGGAGAGGATCACAATAGGGACACTGACATTGGCATTGACAGTCAAGACACAGAACCATTCTGTTACCACAAGATTCCTCCTATTGCCTTTTAATAGCCATACCCCTTCCTCTTCCAGCTTATGCTTTTGAAGAACACTTTAATGCCAGTGGTAAAACAGTGTGGTGGGCATGAATGTTCATGTTTGCTAAGATGTTTAACACCCAGGAGTTAGAGCCAGTCTGACAGATGAGTGCTCTGTCTCTCTCTTTTCCTGGTGCATTCCCATCTCTGCTGTGCTTTTCCCCGCAGGGAGATTATCCTATATTTCTTTCCTGAGTATCAGCTACCATCAGAAATTGGCTACTCATCTGTGGAGGAATTTGTGGCAAGCTTGGAGGTAAGCCGTTTTTTTGTGGAACTCTGAGGGAATGACAGAAGGGCGTGAATTTAATTTTCAGTGAAGAAAAATGTGAAGTGTTCCCAGTAAGAGGCTCTAAGTGAATGAAGATGGGGACCTTTATGCTAAATGGGTGACTCAATTAAAACCAATGTGGTCAAGGGTTAAATAAGCTTCAGTAAGATCTTGCAGACTGAGAGCAGTAGGTTGCAGAGATACTAGTAAATGGAAATGAGACATACCGTATTTTCCGGCGTATAAGACGACCCCTAATTTTACAGTTAAAACATAAGTTTAGGCCTATATTCGCTGTATAAGACTACCCCCCACTTCCGAGGCAACACCAGTTCTTTTTTTAATTAAATTTTTAATGAATGACATTTTTCGAACATACCGTAATATACCTTACATTGATACGATAAATGGAAGGTCTCTTCACAAATGGCAATGCCATGAACTTGACCGAGAAACAGGAAATCCAAAAGAGAACATTAACAATGATGGCATCATCTGGAAAGAAAATTACATGAAGAACTTGCAGAAAACACTTGTTTGTGACTGACTGGGATGATAAGAGGTTTTTCTAGGCTAGGGGTGTCGAACTCAATCAGAGAAAGGGCCAAAATCTAAAATCCAGCCTAAATCGCGGGCCGAATGGTTTACTGAACAGTCATAAACTGTTATTGTGATGGAAACACAGCGGAGTGCAGTGATGACAGCGCGGTGGGGGCCACATTGCAAGGCCTGGCGGGGCGGATTTGGCCCGCGGGCCTTGTGTTTGACACATGTGTTCTAGGCAGAGGAGCATTGTGAGCTTAAAATCCTCATCATGTTCTTCTGACATCATAAGTTCATCAATGACCTCTTGTGGTACATTTGTAAGATATACTTGGCGTATAAAACGACCCCCGATTTTCGGTTAACTTTTTTTTGTTTCAAAAGTCGTCTTATATGCCAGAAAATACGGTAGTCAAACTTCCTCCCTTGCATCAAAAATAGAATTTTTGTCTCTCAGATCACTTCATCAGCCACCTCAGTGTCTTATTAGAATCACTGAGACTTCACCTGAAAAGATGAAAACAATGGCATTTATCAAATCTATTCTCAGAGACAGACCATATGTGAAGGAAAGGAAAACTTTGCCCAGTTACCTGGGTGGACAGGGTGAGGCTCACGCTGTCTTACACTGGGTGTCCTCACGCTGCCCCAGTCGCCATAGGCCCTGGTGAGGCTTACAGTGAGGAGTGCAGGCCCACAGCTCAGAGCTGCTCCCACTGTGGAGAAGGCCAGCGTGATGCAGAAGGTAGGGGTGTCTTTCCACCCTCATGCTCAGTGTGACTTTTGGGAAGGATGGGTATGTGTGGAAAGACTGTCAGTGAAATGAGCACCAAATTATTAATTTGGCCAGAGTGCCACGTGCTTTAATTTGATCCTAGATGAAGTCCTTAGTTCTCTAATCTATAATCACTGTCTTTGCTTCTTCACCCTGTGCTCTTACCTCATGGTCTTCCTCCTGCTTCTGACTCCACTGCTTCACTGTGGCTGTCCTGCAAGGCCACCCGTGACCACTGTGCTGACCTGTAGTGGTCACTGACTTTACCTGACTGCTTAGGTCTTCAATACAGTGATTCCCCCACCCCCGTCTATTTCTGCGTGTTCCCGTCTAAGAAATCCAGACTCCAACTACCTTATTGATATCGCTTTGAATATTTATTGTTTTTCATTTACTTTTTCTTCATCTTGATTATGTTCTTTGCATTTGGTTTAACCATCCTGTATTAATTATTTGGACTGCCTTCATCATTTTTTTGGAATGAGGTAAGGTATACCTTAGTGAATTAATTTAATTAGACACAGGCTTAAAAGACCCTCTGTATTGGTGTTGGCCAGTTCTAGGTTTTGATGCTGCTTTTATACTAGATATTGCATGTTGTAACTGCTGTAGACGGCTGATTCTCTAAAAGTTAATATCCTGTTTTATTATAATTTATGAAAACAGCTGGAGCAGTGCACAGAGCAGACAAACAGAAAGCTGAAAATGTGTTTCCAACAGGTAAGCTTCCTTTCAATGTAGTCATTTATATTCTAAAAGATCCTGTATTCCAAGGGAGAAATAATACACATTTCCAAATGTTCTGTTTGGAAGGAAATAAAATTTGCCTTCACTTAACAAGATGTAGAATTTTGAATGTTAAAACTCAAATGTTTTCATAGCATAAAGCTTATGAAAAGCTTAGAATATGATTGTTATTTGTACTAGAAACAAGACATTCTGAGTCTTTATGAAAGATAGTCACTGACTAAGCCAGAAATTGATCATAGCTTAAAGTTTTAATTACAGTTAAGTCCTCTCTTAACTTCATAGATGGGTTCTTGACTCTAAGTGAAATGCTGTTGGCTGTTGATGTAAACAAGAGTGAAATTCCTGTGAGATCTCATCTATGTTATAATGAAACAATGTTGAACGAAATTATTATATTTGAGGACCTGCTGTATTCTGGACAAGTTCATATTTCCCTGGGTTGGTTTGTTTGTTTAGCATCCTATCAGCAGTTTTTAAAGTTTATGATTTTTTTTCATTAGAAAAATAATTAGTGCTACTAAAAAGTAAAAGAAAAAAATCATTCATAATCCCAAACCATTCCAAGATCACTGCTGTTACTATCTATTACCATTTTAGTATATTTCATTCATATTCTCTCTCTCTCTCTCTCTCTCTCTCTCTCTCTCTCTCTCTCTCTCTCTCTTTCTTTCTATATTTCCAATAATACTGTATATCTAGGTCTTAAAGATTTCCTGGGGTCAGGGGGAGAGAGAGTCCATAGAGTCATTCAGTTCCATTACAGAAATATCTAAAAAAAATCATATGGAAACAGATTCCAAGATGTAAACTCCAACCCTAATCCCCAAATGAACAAAGGGAGTGAGTGTTGGAGCCAAGACAACCGGAGATTCACAGATTCCTCAGAGGCCACAACATCTAGAACTTTTCATGACACTAAGATCAATGTTGAGAGGTTACTCTTCACTGACACTCAGGTTTGCTCAAACAGGTACATCAGCTCCATCATTAGCAAATATACTAGAATCTTCTTCCATCTGCTAATGCTGTTAAAGAGGAAACCACTCAAAATAGCATCCCTTGTGTTAAATCCCAGCATACCAAACCTAGATTTAATACCTTACCTAATTGCTGATGTAACCTCTCCCTGGAAATGTATTCTAAATCAACCAACCTGGAATTTTCTAGTCAATACCAATGAAGTAATTTGTCTTATGGCCCCTCCTCACCCCCCTTAAAAAGAAAAGGCAATCTACATAGTAAAACCCTGTTCCCTTCCCCCACAAAAGTTATCTTAGTCTAAAAATAATCTTTTCTTTTGTTAGTAAAAAAAGCTCCCTTGCCCCACCCTTCTTTCTATAAAAGCCTTCCATTTTGTCCAACCCCTTGAAGAGCCCTTCTTGTTACTAAATGGGATGCTGCCCAAATAATTGCTTAATAAAGTCAATAATATCTTCAAATTTAATGTTAATTTTTGTTTTGCTTTTTTAACAATGCTTACAATCATCTTCTGGGAAACTATCATAACAACATGCAAATTTATCAAGACTAGGAGGTGAATGGTATCCCCTGAAGTTATGCAAAGCACAACTGTAAGCAAAGGCATTGCCTCATCTCTTTAGTAAGAAATAGAGTATATTTGAATAATCTGGTTTTATAAATGAAATAGAATTGTGAAATAAGTTCCCAAAGACATATAACTAGGCAACCTTGGAATGAAAATTAGAACCTAAACCAGATTTCTTGTTAGAAAGGCTGTATTTGAATTTTAGGGTATGCCTAAATGTCATATCCTGGTTGATATATTTGCCTCTGACGTTTCTGATTGAGTATCTACTGGACTGTGATAGGCATAAATGAAGGTGTGTTGTAGGTCTTAGTTTCTCATTATTGGTCAACTGAAAAGTGAGTTTATTTTCTGAATATATGTCTTGTTGAAAAAGCAGTAATTAAACATTTTTAGCTTGAAGACTTAATTATCAACATTTCCAAACTAGAATAGAATAAAAGACTAAGTTTAAGTTTTCTTTTAATATATTTTACCCTATGTTTACTGAGTGGCCAGATTATTATGATCTTTGAAAGCATAATAATCTGGCCACTCAGTGTGTGTTTGTGGATGTATATTTGTGTGTGTATAGATATATAGATATATAGATATATAGACATATAGATATATTAGAGGCCCAGTGACTGAATTTGTGCATGGATGAGGTCCAGTCAGCCTGGCCAGGGGGAGGGGACATGGACAGTTGGCCGGCTTGCCTGCTAGTCAAACTCCTGGTCCAGGGGAAAATTTGCATATTAGCCTTTTATTATATAAGATATACACTGAGTGGCCAGATTATTATGCGTTCAAAGATCATAATAATCTAGCCACTGAATATATATTATTATCATCTATATCTATATATCTATATATCTATAATCTATATCTATCTATCTATCTATCTATCTATCTATCTATCTATCTATATAAAAGCCTAAACAACTATCCAGTCATCCTCTACTTTGGGATTGAAAAAAAGAAAGGAAGGAAGGGAGGGAGGGAGGGAGGAAGGGAGGGAGGGAGGGAGGGAAAGAGAAAGAGAGAGAGGAAAGAAGGAAGGAAGGAAGGAAGGAAGGAAGGAAGGAAGGAAGGAAGGAAAGAGAGAGAGAGGAAGGAAGGAAGGAAGGAAGGAAGGAAGGAAGGAAGGAAGGAAGGAAGGAAGGAAGGAAGGTAGGTAAGAGCCGAGACCGGTTTGGCTCAATGGATAGAGCATCGGCTTGGGGACTGAAAGGTCCCGGGTTCGATTCCGGTCAAGGGCAGGTACCTTGGTTGCGGGCATATCCCCAGTGGGGGGTGTGCAAGAGGCAGCTGGTCGATGACTCTCTCTCTCATCGATGTTTCTAGCTCTCTATCTCTCTCCCTTCCTCTCTGTACAAAATCAGTAAAATATATTTAAAAAATAAAATAAAATAAAATCCCTTTGGGGATCCATTAATTAAAAAAAAAAAGAAGAAGAAAGGAAAGGTAAGGTAAAAGGTAAGGTAAAAGGTAAGGTAAAAGGTAAGGTAAAAGGTAAGGTAAAAGGTAAGGTAAGGTAAGGTAAGGTTTGGCCTTGCTTTAACTATCTCAGTTTCCCTATTCCTCCTGCCCTGAAATTTTTCTAGCTTCTCACTGACCTATAACAGAACCACCATCCTTTATTTTTTCCTCACACAAGCCATCTAGTCTATCCAGATTGAAATTATTCCAACCTACTAGACTAGGCTGCTTCTGAGCCTTTCCCTATTCTGTACCCCAGAATACTTTTATGTACTCTGCCAGTCCGCAGTTTGCCTCTTGAAATCCTGCCCACCCCATGTAGGACCTGGCCAGTGTTGCCTTCTACATCAAGCCTTGCTCAGTCTTTCCAAGGGAAATTAATCTTGACTTTCTGTGCTCTGAGAGAGCCTTACAATTTGATTTTAGTATTAAATTTTCTGCCTTGTATTATAGTACTTTGTGGTATTTTTTTTCTCCACAAACTAGATTATAGAATCTTTAAAGTCACCAATCCTCTCTCACCAAACCTTGTATACTGATGGCATTCAATGAGTAACTTTGAATGCATCTGGGTCTTACTATTTGTGCGTTGAACTTAAGTTTATTGCTTGGGAAGAATTCAGGTTTTGATCGGCCACAATTCCTCTGCAAGAGGAAGTTTATCCAGCATAATTAAGCTTCTTATCTTGTTAAAATTATCTACTCACCTTAAAATGTCAATACAACTGGAAGTCCTGTTATATGGAACTTTAAAAGTTGTCAAAATTGCTACCTTTTATGGAAACCTCCTAGAAATGTTAACCTAAGAAAGGCAGAAGAATAAATCAGGAAACAACAGACTGGTGGTATTTGAAGGAGATATAGTATGCTGGTTACAAGACAGTGAACTTTGAGAAATTACATATGACTTTGAATGTAATGTGCTATGTAAACATTCTTTTTCTTTTTTTAATATATTTAATGATTTTGTACAGAGAGGAAGGGAGAGAGATAGAGAGTTAGAAACATCAATGAGAGAGTCATCGATTAGCTGCCTCTTGCACACCCCCACTGGGGATATGCCCGCAACCAAGGTACATGCCCTTGACCGGAATCAAACCCGGGACCTTTCAGGCCCCAAGCCGACGCTCTATCCATTGAGCCAAACCGGTTTCGGCATATGTAAACATTCTTAATGTCATACCATATTAACAATGTTGTCTTTTCAACTTTTTAAGTGATTATAGATACACAAAAATTTACAAAATAGTAGAGGTCCATATACCCTTCATCCAGTGCTTATAACCTACATAAATATATAATTACTAGAGGCCTGGTGCATGAAATTCATGGGGGGGGGGGTGTCCCTCAGCCTGGCTTCCACCCTCTCCAATCTTGAATCCCTCTTCCAATCAGGACTGCTGGCTCTTAACCAGTCACCTGCCTGTCTGCCTGATTTGCCCCTAACCACTTCTGCCTGCCAGCCCAATCACCCCCTAACTGCTCCCCTGCTGGCCTGATTTATGCCTAACTTTTCCCGTGCTGGCTTGATTGCCCCCAGCTGACCTCCCCTGCTGGCCTGATGGCCACAACTGCCCGCCCCTGCTGTGACCTGCCGCCTCTGCTGGGACCTACCTCCCCCATGCTGCACAAAGCCTCGGGATCCCTGGCCTCACCATGCAGGGTGGCTGCTGGGTCCCACCTCTGCTGTGTGCACAACCATCTTGTGACAGCCATCTTTTGACGGCCATCCTGTGATGGCCATCTTGTGACAACATGAGGATGTGACAACCACCTTGGCTATTATTAGTATAGATATTACAATGTCAAAACCAGGACAATGAAATTGGTAAAATATGTGTCTCATTTTATCATGTATGCTGATTTCTGTAACCACTAAAACCAGGATACAGAACTCCCATTACCACAAAGATCTCCATTATAGCCCTTCCTCCCACGCACAAATATGCCTAACTCTGGGCAACCACCAATCTATTCTCCATCTCCAAATCAGGATTTACCATGTTTTTTATAGAAATAGAATCTACAGTATGTGTCACATTATGATGGGCTTTAATTGCTCAACATAATGCCCTTTAGGTCCATTTAAGTGTGTCAATAGTGTGTTCCTTTTCGTTGCTGTTGTTTTTCTAAATATTGTCTTTAATATTTTATCTATTTTTTCAATTTTATTTGTTTTATTATAATTGCTTATATAAAAGAGGGTTTTGTGGCTATTGTTCAGCCTGGCACAAGTTGTAAGATTCTGGAGTTCTGAAAACTAAGAAGCATTGATGGCTGGTGACACCTGACCTATCTGACCTGTCCCTATTCCAGCTAAATTGAATTATTTTCCCTACTCCACCTGCAAACCATGGGGATGTCACTCCCTGGGTTTGACTGAAACCTCTGTAGGAAGCATCTGTGAAACTTCCTGGAGGAGGTGTTGTAAGTCATCAGCTTTATGTAGGTTGAACTGAGGATGTTTGAAAGTAGATTCCCCTCCACCATCTCAGAATGTGGCCTGAATTCCAAAGATTGGCCCACATGCCTGAAATCCCCTTACTGTGAAGGCTACTTATCTGCTCTCCTAACTCCCCAGTATTTAGGCCTCACTCTGTGGCAGGCATTGGAAATGCAGAGGTGAACAATACCATTTTTTTTTTTTTTTTACTTTGAGGTAACATTCTAGAGAAAGGGATAAACACACAAATAAAACAGTGCAGTTTCACATAATGATAGATACTAAACACATAAACAAACAAACATATAATGGGATATGCCATAAAATAACTGCAGGGCCGGGCATTGACAGTGATGGTGTATGTTGGGAAAGGGAAGCTTTTTGGTGAGCACAGAATACCTGAGCCACATTTCAATACAGACCCGAAGGAAAGAGGCAGCCTTGTCTAAATTTGGGGTCAAACTTTCAAACAGGGAAAAATATCGAAGGTGAAAGGTTTGAGGCAAGAATGAACTTGGTGTATTCCTGGAACAAGACCTAGAACTCAGGAAATAGGTAAAAATAGGCAGAGTTAGGTCAAGGCTTTCAGAGTCTAATTCCTGGTGCCTCACACCAGAAGCTGGTTGAGGGCAAAGACTGAACCTTATGTCTTTGAATTACCTATTATTAAATTCAATGCCTCAAATTTAGGAAATAGTTGGAGAGTGTCTGTTTGTTTGAAGGATTTTTTAGAAAAAGAAGAATTTAATGATGAGGTCAATGAGTGCAAAGGAGACCATGTGGACAATGTGTGGCAGGGCCTGCACATATTATTGAGTGCGGTGGAGAGGGATGAAAGTGAAAAGGTAGACCCAGAAGACAAATAAAGCTACCTTGCAATTTTCCTGGCAACCCATTCATGTTAGTGCACAGAATTCTCATTATAAAAACTTTCACATGATTATCTAAAGAGAATTTGCCTTGTATCTATTTCTTTTCTCAGAATATTCCCTGGTCCTCTCAAAATGTTGACACAAACAATTAATGTCATTTTGAAATGGGAAGCGTTTGTACTCTGTATTACTTATCTCTACTCTGTGAGTGCCTCACGCGCAACATGAGCTCCTAGAAAGCAACCAAGACTCTTGAATGAGCAAGGGTTATAAGTGTTAGTGTATGACTGTACTCTTTACATCGGGGAAAGGGACCCCAAGAAAGCAATAGACAGCACAGGAATTCTTTTACTGTAGTTGCTGTGCTTTTCAGGTGCTCAGACTTGAGTTATAAATAACACAGTGTTATCTGCCATGAAAGCCCCGAGTGGCTGACCCTGCTGTCATTGTCTATGAGATTCTGGTTCTGTGGAGAGTTAAAGGGACCCTCCCCTTCGTGCCTTGAACAAATTCAACCAGTACTGGGTTCCTTCTTCATTCCAAAGCTTACTGGGCTATATTATAGTTACTGGACTATTATGTATCTTCCTTCCTTTTCTTTTTATTTCTTAAAAAAAAAATCAGATTGTATGTACCTTAAGTTCACGGAGTTGACACATAGTGTATATGCAGGTAATTGAAATATAAAATAGTTTTTCTGATATTAGGGGGGAAAGTAAAATTTAAAAATATACTAAGACTTAAAAACAAACATTCCCAGATCCAGGATGTATACATGGCCCAATATGAAAAAAACCTGAAGAGAAAAATGCAGTCTATTATCTATGATGCCAACATAAGAGGAGTGATTAATGAAATATCTCTGATGCAATGTGAACAAAAAAGAAAAGTTGCTGAAGATAGACTGAATAATCTTCGTGTAAAACTGGCAGCATTGCTGCAGAAACTGCAGCTGGTAAGTGATGGGACTTTGAGTGGTGGGAATAGACTTTGTGGATAGAGCACTCAGCTAGCTTCCTCTCCTAACAGTATTATCTATTTACTGACCTGGGACAAGTCACCAACCTAGCCTTTACTCTCCCTATAAGAATATTGAAATGACAGATAAATGAACTTTGAAAGTACATACTATCAATAGAACATTTTTAAAGGTTCGTTATTCTCTCTCTCAACAAAATTAGAATCTTGTCTTGTGCTGTTGGTATAATTTGATTACACTCAGGTCTCCTCAATAGTATGTTTCTAGTAGGAAATTTTTTTCTAAATCTTTTTAGAAAGCAAACTGTGTTCATTAATCCTGATATATAAATAAAAGTAGACTCTTCTAATCTTAGAGTGTAGATTGGAGAGGTCAGGAAACACCATGTATATATGGACTATGTATGTATAGTTTAGTAGGGGTGTCGAACTCAATCAGAGAAGGGGCCAAAATCTAAAATCCAGCCTAAATCGCGGGCCGAATGGTTTACTGAACAGTCATAAACTGTCATTGTGATGGAAACGCAGCGGAGTGCAGTGATGACAGCGCGGTGCGGGCCACATTGCAAGGCCTGGCGGGACAGATTTGGCCCGCGGGCCTTGTGTTTGACACATGTGGTTTAATGCATAAAGAATTTGGCTTCTAGAATTAAGGTGCTCAGTGAAGCAGCTGAAAGCAGGACAAATGATTAGCATCCTCACAGGAAAAACTCAATTACTAGAAAGCCTACAGTTTAGGACCCACCTGACTTAAATGCGTATTCTCTTACATAAATAAAGTCTTCTATAAACAATTTCACCTTGTCAGTCTTCCATGTGAATTGTTAAAGTTGTAAATAAAAGAGTATAAGGTCTACATTTTTACATATATTTATTTCTACATTTTTACATTCGTGTTTATTTCCTAGTAATGGCAACAACTGAGATTCACCATGGGCCTTTGTTGAAAATGTAACTACGTGAAGATTATTGATTTTTGTAGAAAAATATTAAAACTATAAAATTAAAATAAAGAATTTGACTACTCTAGTATGAAAGTACATACTAGAACATTTTTAATGTTAGGTAACATTAAAAATTTTATAGTCTACTATATTACATAGAAATGTTAGGTAAAACACATAAAAAATTAAAATAAATATAGCCAAGGTTGAAAAGTCTTTCTGTAAATGCTAGAAATAAACTGAGAAATCAACAGTGAGCACATGGTATTTTCCTCAGAAAGATCTCTAACCTGGGACACAGACAGGGCCTTCCTGGACCATGGAGGGTGCAAGGGTGGGGCTGAGTCTCTCCAGCGAGTCCTGACGGGGAGGACTGAGGCTTGTCTTGCCAGGAAGGGGTTTGGGGAGGGACATGGATTTTGAAGGCAAAATGCCTGGGTTTCAGTCCTGGTTGTGAACATTTCAAGCTAATAGTCCATTTGTTCTTAAAAACTAATAAACATATTTTGTTTTCTCTGGGGTTTTGTCTTATATTGAATGCAAAATAAAGTGCAGAAAATACTTTTGCTTAACTGAAGTAGAGAGCCAAAAGAGAAGACCCCTCCCCACTTTGGGTGGTCTGGCAACAGTTAATGTTTCATTATTAAAATATAAAGTCAGCTAATGCTGCTTTCACATGATGGTAATTACATTTGTGCTTCTATCAGTGGTACTAAATGAGCCTATTATTCAAGTTGGTTTATTGCTGTAAGAGTGGGATGTGAGTGCAGCTCCTTTTGTTTCTTGTGGCTGTAAAGGGTGGGAAATATTTTTATGGGCAAAAGGTCTAATAGAAAGGCCTGGCATATGGTAAAGTTTCAGTCATAATAGTTGTTTCACTAAGAAGGAAAACTAGAGAGACCAAAGAAATTCTATATCATAGAAATTGAATATCACTCTTTATAAGAAAAGTTCATAAAATATTCTCAGAATAGCAAATGTGTACTTGGCCAAGGGAAAAAGAAAGAAACAATAATCTCTCTCCTTCTCTCTCTCTCTCTCTCTCTCTCTCTCTCTCTCTCTCTCTCTCTCTCTCTCTCTTTTTCTCTTTGGTTATTTCTCACCCAAGGATATTTTCTCCATTGATTTTTAGAGAGAATGGAAAGGAAAGGGAGAAACACACACACAGAGAGAGAAACATTGATGGTAAAGAGACACATTAGTTAGTTGCTTCCTGAAAATACCCCAAATGGGGCTTGGATCTAGTCTGCAACTCAAGTATGTGCCCTTGACCAGAATCAAGCCTGGGACCCTTCAGTCTGCAGGTCCATGCTCCAACCACTGAGCCAAACAACTAATTTGCCCTTTATGCCAAACCCCTGGGCTCTCCCCAAAATAGAGTAATTATATAATTTAATTTGCTTTCTTCTCAATGTTTGGTAAGGAGGCAAAATGCTTTAGCCCACAAAGTATGATACTCTTTAGAATCATTGGAGATGGACTCAAAAGTTTCCTGCCCAAATAATATGCTCTCATCCCCCACTTGAAGTTACCATTTTTTACTGTCTCTGATTGCCAGAGCAATTGCAGTGGAAGGGCAGGGACTTGAGGTGAGGTAGACTCACCAGCAGACACGGCAGGCACCTGAAGGGGCTGGGAACCCACCTGAAGTTCTAGGAGGACGTCGAGTCCACCAGGCAAAGAGCAGTATTCAGAGGGTTAGACTAGACCAGTGGTCAACAAACAGTGGCTTGCGAGCCACATGTGGTTCTTTAGCCCCTTGAGTGTGGCTCTTACACAAAATACCACGTGCAGGCATGCGCATAGAGTGCGATTGAAACTTTGTGGCCCATGCGCAGAAGTCGGTTTTCAGCTTGGGTGAGTCTGTTTTGAAGAAGTGGTTAGAACACTCAAAGGGCCAAAGGGCTGCATGTGGCTCGCAAGCCACGGTTTGCCAACCACTGGACTAGATCAACTAAGCCGAGAGTGGTCAGTATCAGAAAGGTCACACAGATACTCCCCAGGGTCAGTGATATCAATACTGTGGCACCTATCTCCAGGAATAGGGTTACATCACAAAGCTGGGACATAATACAATTTAGTCTTGTTAGAGGACCAAGCAGATCCAGGGCAGTGGGAGCAAAGCATGGAATCAGATAACAGATGGAGAAAGTAGGATGGTGGTGTTACACCGTTGTTGGGAACAGTAATATCATTGGGATTGTTTCTGAAAGATCCTTCCTAAAAATTATCTTTTCCATCACCTCAGTTGGAGAGCGGGTTGATCCTATGGTTGGGCCTGAAGAGAGTGAGATTTAGGTCAGTCAAGAAGGAGCATTTGGTCAGCTGTTCCTGGATTAAGAAGCCCAGGGAAGGAGAGCATGAAATTAACTCGGAGATCTGGTGGGGGGGGGGGGGGGGGGAAAAGGGGGCCGATGCGGGCAGCAAGCCAAGCATTGCAGGGAAAGATGCTGCAGACGAAAGAGGAGAAACAGAGAAATCAAAATTTTCCTAGTCGTCCGTTTTGCTTATAAGGCTAAAGATTCACGAATTTTTAAAATGTGAGGTAAGAACCTATGACAGAGAAAGATGAGTGAGGGGTGGAGGAGGGGCTTTAGGAATAAAACAACTAATTAAATAGAAGTGGGGGGAAAACAGTGAAATTATCCTCCGCTAAAGAAGAAAAAAATTATTCAACTTTCTAACCTCTTGAAAGCATAAAATGGGGTTAAGTGTGAAAACATTTTGAAAAGTTAACATTTTTCAGATGCAAGGTGGGTTGTGATGTACATGAATCACAGAGAAGACTGTTCAGAGGCCACCTTGAACATGGTTGTGGCTTGTTTCCCTGCTATGACTGTTGCTTTTCTTTTCTAGGGAGGTCCAGTAGGAGACATGGAGCAGTTGGATAGTTACTTAGAAGCTTTGCTTAAAGAAGGTCATCTTTTGGGGAACGCTTTCAGTAAAGGGAGTACAGATGCAGGACATGATCTCCCTTTAGGGAACAATGAAAGTACTTCTCAAAACTAAAAGTCAGAAAAGCCATTCCTTTCTTTAAAATGCTAATAAGAAAAAGGAAACTTACTTTCAAAAAAATATTTCCTCTTGTACTTGTTATTGTGAAGTTCGTCCTGTTTGACACTGAAGAAATTGTACTAGTTATACTTTGGAAATGGAGAGTGATGAACAATTTACATACTTCCCGTCCTACTCCCTAACTCTTTCTGTTCTTTCAGAAACTATTTCTTGAGTTTTGTAATTCCCATGTGAGCAACTAAGAAAGATGGAAATGCCATTTAGGCTTAAATTTTGGTTTTATTTAAAAGACTGTAAAAACTGGAAAACAGTGATTATCAAAATCTATACACAAAGAACTACAGAATCACCTCCTTCTGAAACTTGTGTTAAAAAAGACAGGAATTATGCCCTTTCTCCACCACAGCTAATACTCAACAGAAAATACAAATATTCAAAAACCTTTGAGCTATTGTATAGATGTCATAATTTTCTTATTGAACTATTGTAAAAGAAACACTCTTCTAAGTATGATATGAACACATACGTAAGCATTGTACTTTTACATTTTCTTTCATAACTGATTTTTTATGTTTGTTTAGAAATGCCTGTTGCATTTGGATGAAAACAATAAATACTTAATATTTATTTGTGGAGTTGCATATTTTAATTTTATGTACATTCACAAAGCATAAAATTCAGAACTTGTGAAGTGGCATATGATGCAAATTCTTCACCCCCTGCTTATACTTGGCAACTTATTATAATAGTTTTCTCAAGAGGCATGCTTTTACCAGTTCTTGTGAGTTCATTCAAGTGAAATCAGTGCATATATCGATAAAACCATACAAATCATTATATAGATACTAGAAGCCTGGTGCATGAAAATTCATGCACTGGAAGGGGGTTTCCCTCAGTCCAGCCTACCCCCTCTCACAATCAGGGAGCCCTCAGGGTTGGGAGGCAACCCGGCGATCAGGGGAAGGTGATGCCCCCATCACACCTCTGCTGCTGCCACTGCTGGCAGCACAAGCCTCAGCCAGCCCTGGTTACCTGAGCCTCGGATGGCCCTAGGGGGCTGGGGGACTGAGGGGACTGGGGGATTCCAGAGGCAGGCGCATGAGCGGCTGGGCCCACCTGGGAACAGGCCCAGCCTTGCTGTGCACCTGCCACCTCGGCAGGGCTGAGGGACTGGGCGTCACCATCTTGTGGCTGTGAGCACCACCATTGTTGAGGGCATGGCAGTCAATTAGCATATCCCCCCCCCTTTTTTTTAAAATATATTTTATTGATTTTTTACAGAGTGGAAGAGAGAGGGATAGAGAGTTAGAAACATTGATGAGAGAGAATCATCAATCAGCTGCCTCTTGCACACCCCCTACTGGCGATGTGCCCGCAACCAAGGTACATGCCCTTGACCAGAATCGAACCTGGGACCTTTCAGTCCCAATGCTCTGTCCACTGAGCCAAACCAGTTTTGGCAGCATATTACCTTCTTATTGGTAGTGGGTGCCACCATCTTTGCAATGGTGTGATGGTCAGTTAGCATATTCCCTCTTTATTAGATAGGATAAATATGGAACAGGCAAAAGATGTTGATGCTTTTCCACTTAATATACCTTCAAGATTATTCCATATTAAGATCCATACATGTAGAGCACTCTCATCTTTATCTGCTCCTTTTTACTCCATTCCAAGGACATACCAAAATTTACTTAACTATTCTCTTATTCAATAGATATTTACATTTTATCTATTATTTTGGATTTACATGCACACAACAGTGAATAGTGTGTATGTGTGTGTGTATCTCTCTCTCTCTCTCTCTCTCTCTCTCTCTCTCTCTCTATATATATATATATATATATATATATATATATATAGAGAGAGAGAGAGAGAGAGAGAGATTGATTTCAGAGAGGAAGGGAGAGGGAGAGTGAGACACCAATAAAGAGAGAGAATCATGAGTGGGCTTCCTCCTACATATCCCACACTAAGGATTGAGCCCACAACCTGGGCATGTGCCTCGACCAGAAATGATCCTGTGACCCTTCAGTCTTCAGGCCAATGCTCTATCCACTGAACCAAAGTGGTTAGGGCTGAATATTCTTTTAAATATGTTCATTTCATATAGGATCAAGTATATCAGTTAAATAAATCTTAAAGATGAATTGCAAGGTCAAAGGGTATGTGCATTTTATTAATAGATATTGCCTAATAGCACTTCATACCAATGTATTAATATACATCCCCACATCAATGTGTGAATGTCTTTTTAAAATACATTTTTATTATTGATTTCAGAGGGGAAAGGAGAGGGAGGGAGGGAGGGAGGGAGGGAGGGAGGGAGGGAGAGAGAGAGAGAGAGAGAGAGAAAGAGAGAGAGAGAGAGAGAGAGAAACATCCATGATGTGAGAGAATCATGAATCAGCTGCCTCCTGTATGCCTCCTACTGGGGATTGAGTCTGCAGCCTAAGTATGTATGTGCCCTTGACCAGAATCAAACCCAGGACCCTTCAGTCCGAAGGCTGACGCTCTATCCACTGAGCCAAACCAGCTGTGGCAGTGCCGGTTTCTTCACACGTTTACCTACCTAGTGAATTATCAATCTTCCTAATCTTACCGATCAAATGGATAAAATATGGTATATCTTTGTAGTTTAATGTATATTTCTTATGAGTAAGGTTGAGAATCTTTTAATGTTTAAAGTTCTTTTGAATTTTTAAATTTAACCTTTGTTCATTTTCTATTGGGTGATATTTTCTTACTGATGTATCTTTTTATATTATATTTTTATATTATATGTATTACCAATATTTTCTAATAATTTTTCATTTAAAATTTTTTATAGTGGTTTTAGCCATATAGGATTTTATTTTTATTTGTTTGATTTTCTTTTGTTCATGGCTTCTGGGTTTTACAGCCATAATTAGAGAGGACTTTCCAATGGAAAAAGTATAAAGAAAATTTACTTTGTTTTCTTATGATTATTTAAATAATTATATTGTTAAATCTTTGATTCATCTAGAATTTATTTTGGTGTAAGGAGTAAGTTAAAAATCCAATTTTGTGTGTCCAGATTGTCACAGTATTGTCCAGAATTATTAATTAAATAATTAATCTTCTCTCTCATTGTCTGCAAGCCACCTTTATTGCATGTTAAATTCCTATTTATATTTGGGCCAAGTTCTTAAAAATAATTTCTATCATTTTTCATTGATCATCCCTCTTATGTCAGGCCCGTGTTTTCTGGGTAGGACTAGGCAGTAATTTTATATTTCAGGATTTTCCTGTGTGTCCTTGCATGTTTCTCATTCAACTTAGATTTAGCGTTTTAGTCACCACCCACCCTCAAATTTTCTGTATTTTGTTAGGTTTGTGGTGATATTATGGATTAAGATAGAATTGCCTTTTTAAAATATCATATCTTTCTAACCAAGACCAACCAAAATATGTCTTCCTATATGTTCAAGTCTTCATTTGTGCCATGTATTAGCATTTAAAATATTTCTTCAAATACGCTTAAACATTCTAGTTAATATTCATTGTAATTAATTAGATTTTTGCTTTGATCTATTATAAATTAAGGCTTTTCCCTTTATTTTTCTCCCATTGTCTCATAACTGGTTAACGTTGTATATAGTAAGACTCCTGACGTTTACTTAGCTATCAATATTTCATCCAATATAAGAATTCTCATATAACTTGTAATAGTTTATTTCCTTTATCAACAAGTAATAATTATGTAGATTTTTTTAAAGTATGATTTCTGAATCTCATGTCCTTGTATTCTTGACCTACCCAGACTTTTTCTTCCTTGAGGGATTTTCTTGGTCCCTTAAAAACTTGCATTACCTTTCTTTGCCATTATCAGTATCCATTCTTCCTTTAATTTAAAAATTAGTGATTAATAAATGCTAATGGTGATAAGAAGTCAGTGCCTCTGAACGCCTTCTGGCAGACATTTAGAAAGAGTCTGTAGAGGGACTTTCCAGAGAATAGATTTTGAAGGGTTCTAATAGGATATATTCTTCATGTTTCATAAATGAATAATGCCCAGGGCTGAGTCCTTATTATCTCATCTACTCTAATCATTTTAAATAATACTACCAAATGAATGAGTTCCAAATTTCCATGATCTTATTGAGCACTTGTTACATAACTCTATGAAATTAAAATTTTCTATTGAAAATCTATAATGATATTTTGAAACAAAATTAATCATATTCACCTTAACCATTACCACTTTCACTTAAGGCCCCAATGGCTCCTATTCTTGAGGAATCCTGGGTTTTAAACAGGTAATCTGGATTAAGGAGTAGGGACTAAGGCAGAGACCAATTTATGAACTGAGTCAATAATAGTACTGACTATTGGGGGTGAGTGGAATGGAGTAAGGTTATGAGAGGAGCTTGGAACCAGAGGACCCCCTGTGCGGAAATAAGGTGATTCTCTTACTTCTCATTATGGCTGGTGCTAGATGGCTTGAGGACCACATGGCAATTCATTTCTGTTACTGGAGCATAGATGCAGTTCATAGGCCAATTCACTCAGCGTGGGATAAAACTAGCAGGCAGAGAGCATGGGTAGATGCAGACTGGGGAAAAGAAAGAACAGCTAAAAAAAGAAAAAAAAAGGCAAAAACAGTGTCAGGAAATACAGTAAATATGTTCTTTTCTATGCAAACCACACTTTTCTGTTTACTACATCTACAACTTTATTTTTACTACTAATATAGTTACCTCTTACCCATTTCCCTCTCCTATACATAGACATTCTTTTCATTTAACAAAACTCATAATGTATAGTTTCCCTCATGGTTTTAAAAATATTTTTCATCTAAATTTATCTTCACAATAATTGGATGTGAAAAGGCAAATAGTCTTATTACTCTCTTACAGATAGAGAAACTGAGGCTAGAGAACATAAGTAATGTTTTGATGTAGTTATTACATGGCAAACAAAACTTTAAACCCAGACTTCCTGATGGCAACTCAAAGTTCTTTCATTAGCTCCACTGTGTCACTGTAACATAGGCAGAATTTATGGCTAACAATATGGCAAGAGTTATCCTCTCTAACTTACTGCCTCTGCCTTACACAGAGAGCTGTATCTCTGAATAGCTAGTTAGCACAATCCCATCAATTAGTGGCAAAAGATCTAGTCTTAAAACTGTACAGATTAGTTCATCTCGATGGCTTTCTATTCTTATTTAGCCTTAGCCGTAAGAGGTTTAGAGTAGCTTTCCAAGGGCATATGTTAGCCTCAAGTTTTAATGAAGCATGAGGGACTAAATACAGACAGACCGTACCTGGAGACAACCTGAGGAAAAGCTGCAAACTGAGTCACGATGGGAAATAGTGCCTCGATAGCTGAAGGCCTGGCAGCAATTCCTGCCAAGGAGACCTATGTGTGGTACAGAAATTTTATGATGAAATATTCCTCTGGCCTGCAAACTCTACATGAATTTAAGACACTCTTGGGTCTGCAAAGTCTAAACCAAAAGGCCAATCAACATGTTGATCGAATCTATAATACCTTTGACATGAACAAGGCAAGAACTTTTACTTTGTGTTTGGCTATGGTTCTGCATTTTTCCTTTTTTAAAAATATGAAGTAGCCTGTGCTTCCCTCTGAATTGGGAGGTCTTCAGAGATCCCACAGCTTGTGGGTAAGTGAGTTATTAAATGTGTTTAGCACTGACGGCGTGAAAATAATTGGGAACTAGCCACTCCACCCTTGGAAATGTTCTGCATGTAGGGAGTTATTTTAAAACCAAAATTAAATCTCAGCATGGAATGCTAATGCTATCATTTAAACAAATCTAATAAGTGCAGATTGATTTACAAAGACTATTTTCAAAGTGTTTAATGCAATGGTGACATTTTATGGAAAAGCAAATTATAGAAATCTGCTTCCTAAGGTGTGATTGCATCTAGATTGGCAGATAAAAATCAATACAAATTAACCAGTGTGTTGGAATGCTTCATAATACTTTTCTTTCCCTCATATCTGACTAATTTAGTTTTTTTTTTTGGGGGGGAAACAGAACAATTTATAGTTTTAAATTCAGATAAATTTTAGTTTCTAAAGATAGTCACCCAGCTATTGTCCTAAATTTACTCATTCCTGAGGAGTCCCAGCACATTTCATTTCATTCATTTTCTTTTCTCATCTTGGAAAAATATCAAGATGAGAAAAGAAAATATGGAATAGTAAAAATAAGATAAAAAATTTTCTGATATACCAGGCTAAAGGTGTTCCTGCCTGCTTTTCCTTGTGCATTTCAGTTATTTTACTTGCAGATCAGTAAATTTCAAAATGTTTTGATGCCATCTAGAATAAAAGGGAAGAAGGAATACTACTCACAGAAAAACAGATGACATTGGAAGGTCGGACATGACAATAGAAGAGAAAGGATGGCTGATGAACTTACTACAATTAAAATGATTGCCTAACGGGATGGAATCCAGCACAGCCCTTTTCCAAAGCCAAAAAGCAGATGACCAAAGGGGTTAATGACAAAGAACTGGAGCTAATAACCAAGAACTGCGTGAAATTAATGCCCATTTTAATCCTTATAGTAAAGTCAGGAACAAATTTCTTTAAGGACATTGTTGTATTTTTTTTCTTGTTATCAAACACGAATGAAGCGCTGCCTGAGTAGCATGACTATGCTTTCCTCATAAACTGCACTTAGCATATTTTGCGTGCAAAAGGGGCTCAGCCCCTACGGAGCTCACAGGTCAGTGGGAAAATGACAAAAGATTCTGCTTGTGTTCTTAACTCTGAAATATGTTCTGGACATGCTGTAGAGTGAATGTGCCACCCCAAATTCATATGTTCAAATCTAAACCCCAATGTGATGTACTTAGAGGTGGGGTCTTTGGGCGGTGATCAGGTCATGAGGGCAGAGCCTTCCTGAATGGGATTGGTGCCCTTATAGAGTGACCCCCTGAGAGTTTTTTCACCCCTTCCCCCACGTGAAGACACAATGGGATGACAGTTATCAATGAATCAGGAAGCTGATCCTTACTAGAGAGGGAATCTGTGCCTTGGTCTTGGATTTCCCAGCCTGAAGAACTGCATTAAATGACCCAGTCCATGGTATTTTGTTATAGCAGTGGAACTAAGGCAGATACCATGTGCACACTGCGTGTTGTTTCTCTTGGTCTCTACCTCCGTGGCCATCTCAGGGCATGCTTGCTTTCTCTCTCACACTGTCATTCTCGGTTTCACAGTGGAAGTCTGTTTTAGACAGCACTATTCTTGGCTCTGACAGTACTCCTGAGAGGTGAGAAGATGACTTCCCATCAAGTTCCATAGTTATTCTCCAAAGGTGTTGATGTCATATCTTGGGACAGCGAACCTGCTGATAACCCACTGTCTGTGAAAGCACTGTGCATGTTTGTGGTTCCTAAGTACAAGCAGGAACACATGACAGGCAGTGCTGAGTAGAAATGGTGCTGGCAAAAGGAAGCCCGCTGTCAGGGAAGCAGACCATGTCCATAAAGACAGCCTAGGGCATGTGCCACAGGAGTGAGAGTCCTCGCAGTGACCAAGCCCATCTCAGGAATGTAAACAATTCAGAAGCTCTGCTAGCATTCGTGATTTTTTTTTCTTTCTTTTTGCATCTGTAATTTATTGTAGAGATTTTATATTTGCTTAGGAAGCAAGAGCACCAGGCAGTGATGACAAATGTCATGAAAGGTGTGGGGATCTCAACATAAAGTCATGTCATAAAATGAGAAGGCTAATGATTGTTCATTATCAAGTGAGTAAAAAAAAATGATATGCAGTTATGCAAAGGAAAACAAAAGAGCCATGGAGGTAATTAGATCAATAAAAGTATCAGCTGTCTATAATCTGGAGGATTTACTCTTTCTTGGAGCTCCTCTGCTGCTTTCACTGTTCTGGGGAGAAATCACTCTAAAATGCACTTCATACTCTCCTCCTCTCCAAAGTGCTGGCAAAACATTTTCTTGATATCACTCATTATTATGAACATTAGTTGTTACATTCATAAAATACCATGAAGCACCGTGCCTATTGAAGTTGTTGGGGCTAAGTTTCCTAATGTTAAAATTCTTGAATATACCTGCTTTTGTTAAAGCTTTAACATCCAAATCCCCCCCCCCCCATTATATATAATTGATATATAATGGAGAGAGAGATAGAAACATCAATGATGAGAGAGAATCACTGATGAGCTGCCTCCTGCACACCCCATACTGGGGATTTAGCCCGCATTTTAGGCATGTGCCCTTGACCAGAATCTAATCTGGGACACTCTATCAAGCCAAACCAGCTAGGACTTTACTCTTCCCTTTTTAAACATGGGTTTGGCTTGTACTCACTAACAAACTTATTTGAATAGTGCATGAAGTAAGAGTAAATATATTCTAAAGTTTAGAGTATTAGGTTTATAACAAGTCCTTTGCCCAACCCCACACCCTTGCAGTCTTCTCTATGGCACTCAGTAACAATAATTAATGCTCTCTGAGTTTTTATTATAATGTGCCTGACACAGTTCCAGGCACAGGACATAGACAAACACATTCAATGTCACATGATTGTAAAACGTACCAATGTTGGCACCTCAGACCACAAGGAAAGGTAGCTAATTAATCATGGCCCCAGTGAGTTACTTTGAGACCAATCACTGTGCTTGTATTGAGTCCATGCCTGGGTTTAGATAACCACCAATGAACGAGTGCAGCAGAAATAATAAGGCCTATCTGTCCCTGAAAGACAGGGGATTCCATTGTCACCTGACTTTGACTCAAGGATGCCCTGGAGGTTTTATCCACAACCATAGGTTTAAGGAGTATTTAGGACATTTTTCTTGCTCTCTTCACCTGGGATAGGTTAACATTTTGGTCTGACATATACCCCAAGCTTTCTTAACTTTCTTCCTATTTCCTCCACATAGCATTTCTCCAAGTAAATGTCTTAAATTGGATTAAGAGGTCTAATATCCTATGAATAAGAATCACAGAAAAAGAGCCCAGAGAAAATGTAAGGTTATAACAAAACAAACTAGAAAAATTTCCTAGACCTATCAGATACAAGGGCTCAGCACAATCAATAGAAAAAAAAAAGATCAACTACAGCATATGCTGAAAAGTTTTGTAACAACAAGGTAAAAAGAAGATCCTAAGATATTCCAAAAGGGAAATAAATGGAAATCAAAATACGTAGCCTTACATGGTCAGTGTGACTCAGTTGGTTGGAGCTTTATCTCCTATACCAGAAGGTGGCAGATTCCATTCCCAGTCAGGGCACATACCTAGGTTGCAGATTTCTTTCTCTCCCTCTTCTCTCTTCTCTATCAAAAAAGTAAAATAACTTGAACTTCTTAAGACCTATATAAGAGACTAGAAGTAGTAAATGGATAAATGCTTCCAAAATTTTGAGGGGGAAAGTATCAAGCCAAACCAAATGTGAGAGAAAATAAAGACATTCAATGACTGAAAATTTTACTTCACAATCCACCCCCCTTCCCTCCCTTAAGAAGCTACTGGAGCACATGCTTCTGTAAAATGAGGGAATCTATTGACAAAGAGGGCCAGAGTGAATCCAAGATAGGAAAATAGATATGTTCCATCCAGGATCATGGAGAAGGAAAGTCCAGATAAAATATTTTGCAGAAAGCCCAATGTGCTGCTAATCTAAATGAAAAAGAAGGAAGGGGACTCGGGAAGGAAGACCTGAAGAGATGACATTAATGCATTATCTACTATGTTTGAGAATTTCAAGACAATATTATTAATTGCTATTTAGCCAATTTAATAGTGCATTTGGGAAAGAAAAAAACAACAACAACATACACACACACACAAAAACGCACACACACAAGGCTAACTGCAAAAAAAAAACCAAAAAACAAAAAACCCTCAAAATGTAAACTGAAGAGACTTAAAATTTATTACAAAAATTTTACACATACACAAAAGTAGAATAATCATCATCTATCTTCAACACATCAAAATTTTGTCATTTTGCTTCAAAGTCTTATTTTTTCCCCTGAAATTTCTTTTATAGAGTTAGTTAGGAAAGGCTTTCTGGAGAGGTTGAGGTATTTGGAAATCTTGAACAATGTGAAGAACTTGAATTATTATTTCTGTATCAGTCACTGTCTTAAGGATATTATGTTTATTGTATCAGTTCTCACAACAATAATCTGAGTGGGGATTTTCGAAGAGGATCCAAGATGGCTGCACAGGTAAACACCTAACCGCAGCTGCACACAACAATTTCAATAAAATACAACTAAAATATAAAATGGATATTACCCAGAACTACAGGAAAGTCAACTGACTGGGAAATTCTACAACGAGAAGCAAGGAGAAAATCAGAAGGAAGAGCGGAGGAGCTGTAAAAGCCTAAGGTATGGAGACACGCAGCGCACGGAGAGGACAGAGCCGGAGAGAAGGGGAGGCTGAGTGCCTGGCTGGCGTTCCCTAGCGGGAAGGAGATAAAAGCTCCAGACTGTGCTGAACCCCAGACCTGACAGCACTGAACCCCAGTTCTAGGCCAGACCCAGGGGACC